ATATTCTCACTGGCATGGATGTTTGGTGGTGGTATCTGACCGATGAAGACAGTATGGAGCAGAAAAGGGAAATGTTATTACCTGTCACCCCGAAGACCCTTTCACCCCCCTCCAACTGAGTAAGCATGTCCAGGCGCTGGTTAATCTTGGCAATGACGCATCTGCGTGTGTGCCTGTAGATGAGAGCAGGGACGCTCCGAGAGACCTCTCTTCATGTGGCCGCCTCCTCCTCCTCCATAGCCCCGAGCCCAGACATCGAGTCCTTATAACCTCCCCATACAGATCAAAGCCACCAGAACCTAACATAGCGAGGAATTTTCAAGATGTTAATACAACCACTACACCTCCTTACTATTATTACAGATCAATGGTGAAGCACTCCTAATGTAATCAAATTAAATATTCAGATGCTAATGCACAATAGTCTCATGGATAAAGAATAAAAGTATTAAACAATTACAAAAGCGAACAGTGGTTGACGTTTGTATCATTTAAATATAAAACAGTGGATTTTTAAGAGGTCAGTCAAAGTAAGCAATTGATTTTATTAAGCTACTTAAGTTAATGAAATGTTAATCCACATCTATTGATATTGCAATAGCTTGCATAGCCAGTTAATAGTGTGAGGAGTGATTTTAACAGTGGATGCATAAACTTGTCTAATGATTTTCTTGTCAAAGAGTATGACTGTTATCCCTCCCTGGTTTAGTAGTAGTCATACCACAAAGAGCTGCAATATCAAAAGCAATATTCAGTCAAAATAATTGTCTTATCCGATGTAGTCATTATCCCCTAGCTGTGTTAAAAAAAAACGGTGTAGGCCGCAACCCGACAAAGTTTGGGTGTACTTGTGTACAGGAGCAGTACGGGAGTACATCTCATTTTCTCACCTCTGCTGCCTGATCCTCCACCTCCCCAACTTGAGTAACCTACACAAGGAGCAAAAACATTGGTATAGGCAAACTAAAAGGTCATAAAGGCTAGTAGTCAAACGTGAACAGCCAAGATGTTTGCGTACCAATAAGACCATCCAGCTGTGTTACTCATATACATCGTAAATAGTCAAAACGAATATTAAGCAAAATCAAGTGGACTTCTAGGTTGGTTAAATATCTGAAAGATACCGCAAGAGGGTTCAACTCAACAGCGAACCGGCTGGGTTTTCTTCAGATTTCTATCAGACAATGGATTTCTTTGGATCGGAATCGGTTTTACTGGCCCATTGCAAATGGTTTTGGAAGCATATTAGTTGAGGCGGCCATTTTATTAACTAGCCTTTAAAAGTAGGTTATCTCCACGCTGACTCCATTTTAACAGAATTGGCCGGCTAACTTTGGTTTGCATGTAACACGCCACAGAACAGTCAAACAATGGTCCAACGCAGCCCTGTATGTTAGCACATTGGCAAATAACCAGCCTGATGGCGAAGTGGCTAACCCTAGCTAGCTATGGTTCATAATGTCAGTGAACGGGCCTGGTAGTGTGCGTTGGTGAATTTTTCACCTCTGAAATGAATTTGTAAAAACTGATTACAACAGATAGAGAAATATCACTTAACAGTTAGCTAACACGTCTTTGTCTGAAGCTACAAGCGGCTATGTGTTGCTTGTTTTTGATGGTAATCTAAATACCTGAACTAGCTAGTTAGCTAACATACTGCAGCACCGTTTCACTGCAACAAAGAACTTGGGTAACTGGATAACTAATTAATAACGTTAACTGTAGCCATGATGAATTTATCTACACCACATGTTAGGCGTCATGCCTGAGAGTCAGTGTATATTTACCGGAACCGTAGCCTCTGTTGTCCATGGTAGTTTAGTGCGCTGTTCAGACAATCCAATCGAAACTAGCAGCAATAGCTCCAGCTGCGGGTTAGGTTACGCTAACAGCGATGGGTGGCCCGATACAATACGCGAAAAAAAACCACGTGACCGCCTAGAGCTCGTTACGTCACACTTTAAAACCGTAACCACAATATTTGTATCAAGCAGTCTGACTCTGATCTTAATTGGAGCTAAGTGCATATAATGTCAGTAAGGTTTCCATCAAGAAGATTTGAAATTGGCTTAACTGACAGAATCTGAAACCGTATTTCTAATGTATAATTTGTAAATTCAGGCAAACGAAGCTTTCCATGAATCGCTTTGAGGCAAATGATACATTATAATTAGTCAAGCATGTGTTAGTCAAATGGTGACATCTGCTGGTCAACACTTCGTATTCATGGTTTTCACGTGACGTCACATTCGAAGGAAAACGCTCCCTTGGAGGACAAAAAAGACGTTATTTTCCGCTGCCTGCCAACCAGGAAGCAGGTGATACACTGTTACTATGAGTTTTTACTTTTGCATTGCCAAAATGCTGGATGGTAGTTGTACTTTCGAGGAAGAGACAAGCCTGAGCTGTGTTAAGTGAGGGATTCCCCACAAGGTAAACGTAAACATTACCGCAATCGAGCGGTACACAGGTAGGCTACCGCGAATGTCACGTGACTGAAAACTATGAATTGCATATTGTGAGACCACATAATGAAACCATTGACTGCAAAAAAAAATAAACAACTACAACAAAAAAACATTTTAGTGTGTCACTCATAGACTGTTAAAAGTGTCAAAACGCGCACGTCCCACAATATATGGACGATTAGTGAATCAGACTTACAGGTAAACTTAGCACTTTGTCAATCAGTCTATAAACAACCAATAAATACAATTAATTAGCCAAGGATTAACCTACATTAAGTCAGAGCCGTAACGGCTCTGCATTAAGTGACTGAAATTGTGACAAATTAACTGAATGGAAATCTCTTTGAGCTAGTCGTCAGGTGGCACATTGAAAGTCCCCCTCACTTTGTCTGACGTATTATGTTCCATTAATCACATATTTTTGTTTTTGGCTCCACAAATGTTGATAAGCAATCCATGTAAATTGTTCCATCTTGCCTGTTGAATAGACTCATCACTCCTGCAGGATGTAGTCTGTGAGAGAAGTAAGTGTCTCCCAAGTTATTTCCCGAAAAAACAAAAAATCACATACAAAACAAATACTGCCATGTGTTTATATCTCTAACATTGAAGAATAAAAGAAAACACAGTAAACATAACATAGCCTATATAAAGTTACAGTTGTAGATTGAAATGAAAGCAACAAAAACCTACTAAAAACATTTAAATGCATTTCCTTTCACATTAAAGTACATTTACAAGAAAGTGATGAAATAGGCAAGAGGAATCAGTCTGTTGTAATTTAATTTCACACTTTTGCACAAACATCACTGTGAAATGTGCAGGGGAAGAAGGAAGCAAAGTGTCATGTACAAAGTTATCCCCAGTATACAAAATATTATTGTAAATGTTATTATAATATGCCATTAAAACATAAAATATAACAAGAAAAATATATTAGCCACAATCAGCATTCAAAACATGCATTAGGCCCTCATGAACGGATGTGTCAGTCATCTGTAGATAACAGCCTTGCAACCCCCCCAACAGGAAGCAGATCACAAAGGATACGAGTAAATGATTGTGACATCCTGATTTGGCTGCATCACATACATGAGTTTACAGATGCCTAAATGGTGCTCAAATCATGCATTTCCAGCTTGTATCTAAATGAACAAGACATACATTTATTTGTCCTCTGCAAAGCGCCCTGCACATATATCTAAAATCCAAGCTCATATTACACAGTGTATTCTTGCTCCTCTGCAGGTGCTTCCTGTGCAGCAGGACTCATGGTCACGAATGCAATGCTTTCATACAGCTGAAGGGCAGAGAAAACAGGTAACAGAGGGAACACACACAAACATGCACAAACAGACATTTCTAGGTCTAAGGTTTTTACTCACCTGTTCACTTTGTACTTTGTCACTTAGCTCAGCAGCGGAGGTTGGATTGTTCATTTTCCTAGATCTTATTAATCATATTGTGACATTGTTAATGTTACAAACAGACTGACTTTGAATACAGGAAATAAAAGTACAAAAATGGAAATGTCAGACTTTTTACCTCAGCGCCAGGTAGAAGAGAAATGCAGCAGGCGGGATCAGTAACAAAACAGTCAGTTTTACTGCATTCATTATCGCTACTGACTTCCCTTGAGCTGGAGAGAGATCGTTGGGAGATGTGTTTCCAGTGCAAATTATTTAAAAACAATAAAAGCAAGACACATTATTGTCTTTTGTAGGTTTTTGGCACTGTACTTAAATCATAATCTACAGTGTCTGCCTACTGCTTTTACTGAATTTTACTTTCCTTCTACCAAATTTAAATGTGGTGTCCTTGGTAGGTAGGGTCATCATATAGACCCTTGAGGAGGTCTTGTGAAATATTCTTTCTACATTGGAATGCAGTTATGTTAATATACACTCACCTAAAGGATTATTAGGAACACCATACTAATACTGTGTTTGACCCCCTTTCGCCTTCAGAACTGCCTTAATTCTACGTGGCATTGATTCAACAAGGTGCTGAAAGCATTCTTTAGAAATGTTGGCCCATATTGATAGGATAGCATCTTGCAGTTGATGGAGATTTGTGGGATGTTGTAGCCCATCCGCCTCAAGGTTGTGCGTGTTGTGGCTTCACAAATGCTTTGCTGCATACCTCGGTTGTAACGAGTGGTTATTTCAGTCAAAGTTGCTCTTCTATCAGCTTGAATCAGTCGGCCCATTCTCCTCTGACCTCTAGCATCAACAAGGCATTTTCGCCCACAGGACTGCCGCATACTGGATGTTTTTCCCTTTTCACACTATTCTTTGTAAACCTTAGAAATGGTTGTGCGTGAAAATCCCAGTAACTGAGCAGATTGTGAAATACTCAGACCGGCCCGTCTGGCACCAACAACCGTGCCACACTCAAAATTGCTTAAATCACCTTTCTTTACCATTCTGACATTCAGTTTGGAGTTCAGGAGATTGTCTTGACCAGGACCACACCCCTAAATGCATTGAAGCAACAGCCATGTGATTGGTTGATTAGATAATTGCATTAATGAGAAATTGAACAGGTGTTCCTAATAATCCTTTAGGTGAGTGTACATTACATTTTATCAGAATCAGAGTGGGTGAAAGATGTTATTCATGTCACACAGAGTACTTAAAAAAAGACATTTGCTTCAGTTTAACTGTAAAAGTGCTTCAATAGCTAACAATTATTAAATTAAAATTTAAAGCTGTGCTTGCCTTTGACAATGAGACTTTCTTCTGGTGAGCTGATGTTTTTGGGAGTTTTGACAGCACAGGAGTAGTTTCCTTCATGCTGACTACTGACCGGGTCTAGAACCAGCTGTTTCTTTTTGTTCTTTGGCCCGGTCAAGCGTCGACTGTTCAAGTACCAGATGTAGTTTGTGTTGTCAGTCAGAGGACAGCTGGTACTGCAGGTCAGTGTGACTCTCTGGCCCTCTGTCACCTCTGCAGAAGGAGTAAACTTCACTCTCAGGCCTGGAAAAAAAAATTTCTATAGATCAATTAACCAAAAGGGGGCATCATATAAGCTTTTGTGTGTCCGTTGGATAAGATGGCTTACAATCATCAAAATACCTGATATCAATTATTTCAGAGAATATACAGTATAATATGCATATGAGATATTTAATAAAAAAATAGAAAAAAGCAGAACGCAGGCTTTCTACCCAGGACTAAACATTCAAAATGCTAAGACATATAACTGCTACATAATTTTCTGAAAACTGTAAAAAAAAAAAAAAAAAAAAAAAAAAATTACCTGTGACAACTAAAGTCACTCCAGATAAATCAGACTGTGTCCGTCCTTGTTTATATTTTCGGGGCGTGAATGTGTATTCTGCTGAGTCATTCTTCATCAGGTTATTGATGCTCATTATGTGGTAGTTTTTTATGACATGAAACTCCACACGACCAGCATCGTCAGTCAAAGTTTCATCATCCTCCTCATCACGTCTCTTTACTTTATTCCATGAATTAACCGATTGGCCCGAGGATTCGCTTGTAATGTTCACTGATGAACCTTCCAGGGCACAGATCCTCCTGCTGACGTAATTCACACTCAAGCAGTTCGAATCATCAAGACCTAAAATATAGATTAAACACTTTTAACAGCTAAATTTACTTTTTAAAAATGCTTCTGTGTCTAGGATTTTAACCAGTCTCAACTAATATTAATATAAAATCCTATTTACATTTAAAATTTTGTATTGCATATTGTATGGCACAACATAGAGTTTATAGTGTTTGGGATTAAAAAAAAGAAAAACAGAAAATTCTTGCAGCAATAAATCACAAAGAAAGCAATGGGCGTGAAGGGATTTCCTAAGAGGCCAGATTGTCTCAACTTGAATTACGTTAAGTCACAAAAATGTTATATCCAATGAGGCGAGAGGAAAAGCAGACCATCAAATACTGATTTTAAATTGTAGATAATGTGACATTTGATTAACATTTCAAACAACAAATAGAAATGAACAAACTGGTGTTTACATCAGAGCTATTGTATTTTATAGTAAGTTGTTTCTGTTGTCCAACCCCATGGTGTTTGAACATTATTTAGATTAATATGTTTCATATTGCCCTTTAGGCTTGCAGACTAATGATATATTTGCCCAATTCTATGAGTTAAAAAGACCACAAATTAGTTTACACTCACATTTTTCATCAGAGTGCAGATATTCGAGGCCTGTCACAGCACAGGAGAAGACTCCAACAGAAGAGCGGAAAAGTGTGATGTGTTGACTCTTACAGTGACTGTATAACTGTTTGTTCCAGTACCACGTATAGACATATTGAGGGTCAGCCATCGGACAGCTGGTGGCACAGGTCAGTGTTACATAGTTCTTCTCAAAATTCCTTTCAACATGTAACATTACTTCTGTTGGGAGATGATATGATAAGGTAATAAGGTATGTTTATATGTTTGAAAATTCAGCTCACATACAGGTATTGTGGCAGTAGAGACAAACTGTTGATTGAATGTGTCCTGAACAGTACTGAGTTTATTAAAATTGTACACTGACTGTTTGACTTTTCTACAAAATGCTGTCAGATTTTATGTAGCATGAATAATTTATTATATTAATTTAACCATTTCATGCATACTGTCATTAGAAACTGAGTAGGCTTACAATTAGCTGATAATTATCTCGATCAGCCACTGTCAGTAATCAATACAAACACACATTAGACTGTAAACTTAATGGATGCTCCCTGT